CACTGCCCCGCCGTGTTCTCCAAGCCCAGGTGAGACACTCCCCCGCCGTGTTCTCCAAGCCCAGGTGAGACACTCCCCCGCCGTGTTCTCCAAGCCCAGGTGAGACACTCCCCTGCCATGCTCCCCGGGTCCAGGTGAGACACTCCCCAACTGTGTTCCCGGGGTCTATCCAGGTGCGATACTCCCCCACATGCTCCCGGGTCCAGGTGAGACACCTTCTCACCCCATGTTCCCCGAGTCCAGGTGAGAAACTCCCACCCCCAAAGTTCCCTGGGCCAAGTTGAGACACTCACCCCGGCTGCTCCCTAGGTCCAGCTGAGAGACTCCCATTCCCCACGTTCCCTGGACCTAGGTGAGACACTGCCACCCCCCATGCTCCCCCGGCCCAGGTGAGAGACCCGTCACCCCACTGTTCCCAGGAACTCCCACTCCCTCTCATGGCCACTTTCCAGTCCTCTTATCCGCCCGCAATCTTGGGATTTGTCCCCCCGCAAACACTCCTTCCAGGTGCGCATTGTGCCAGGGAATGCAGTTTCATTGTCACAACAGCCCTGGGACGCGGCATGTGAAGACTCGCTTGGTCCAGGCCACGTTCTCTGCACACGCTGCCCTGGGTGCCACAGCATGCCAGGCAGGCTGCCCGACCACAGACCCGTGAAGACCACGGCAGCTGCTGTCTAAAGACCAGCTCATGCAGGAGCTGCACTGAGACCTTCTCCGAGGTGCTCGTGCTGGGGCCCAGGTCTTACGGAAAAGGCCTGTTCCCTTCGCTGGATGTCACAAGGCTCAGGTGAGCAGGTCAGAGCCCTATTCCCGATGAGTTCTTGGTTAGTGTCAGCTCAACCACAGCAAAGGGCAGCCGGGCAGGGCCCTGGGCTCCCGGGAGACCCGCGGTGAGAGGAGGCTGCAGGTCCAGAACACGGTTTTCTGTGTGCGGTTCAACCACAGAAAGGTGAGATTCTAGAGTTTAAACACTAAGCATGCAGAGTCAACACGTCTCTGCCAAAGGCCCCTTCATCTGCCAGAGCAGTGGGTCAGGCCCCCAGGACGTGGCCAGGAGTGAAGAAGGGGCCTGAGGGTCCTCACCCTGTGAGAGTCACGTCTCCACTGCTCCTGCCCGTGATATCTTCATGTAGATTAAGCTGCACACTTGGATTCCATGTTTTTCTTAGGGACCAACAAGGACTTTCTGCACAACCAGGTGATGAAGTCAGAGGGCAGAGGCTTGTGTCGGGGAGAGGGGCCCAGCTAATAAGCCCCTCCCCATCAGGGGTCCTGGGTGTAGACAGAGGTCTCCCAGCCGCTGCCCATGGTACGCTGCATGCGGAAGCAGGTGGCTCTCTGTCCTCCCTCTGGGAGATGGCCTGTTTCCTGCCTCCTGTGAGCCGCGCTGGGGCTGGCCAAGGCCCCGCAGGACGGGGAAGCCCCGAGAGGGCCATGGTGGAGGGAGTCTAATCGGTGACTCTGAGTGGTGAGGCAGTTAGGGAAGCAACCGAGCATCCCTGCCACGCGAGGCCAGCGAAGGCAAGATTTCTAACTGCAGAAGGGCTGCCGGCACGGCTGTGGGTGGATGGCTGGGAGGGCAGGGAGGGCTTGTGGAGCCACTGGGGCTGGTGCCATTCCCTGGTCACCCAGGAGGAAGTCAGGCGGGAACGGGGCCTGGGCAATTCCCTACTGGGGGTCGGTTTCCCAGAATGGGTGAGGAAAGGAAGAGTTGAGATGGGACCTGGAAGACCCGGCGTGAGCCCCACACCCAGCCAGTGTCCAGGGGAGTGGGCAGATGACGGGCACGGATGCGCAAGGGCAGAGACCCCAAGAAACTCACAGGCAGGTGGAAACACAGCCTTCAAAGCAAGCCCTCAGGCCAAGCGTGATGGCTTCCACCTGTAATCTCAGCATTTTGGGGAGGCCAAGGTGGGAGGATCACTTGAGTCCTGGAATGTGAGACCAGCCTGGGCAACAGAGTGAGGCCTTGTCTTTACAAAAATAAAAGTATATATATTAGAAATCATTTTTAAGCCACATGGATACAAGCTGCTAGGATGAGCACATTAAGTGAACGGCCGCATCTGTGCACGGGCTGTGTGGCCCTGGGCGCCACACAGGGTACAGCAGGGAGCACATCCCCAGAGCTCACGCGTGTCCGGCCCCGGCTCCCAGCTGTGGTGCATCCTCCGTGCGCGTGCCCTGCAGGCTGAGTGAAACGTCCTCACTGAAGGTAAGCTAGAAGGTCTCAGGGCCGGTAGGTCACAAAGACCCTGCTGATAACACAGGATCTGGGAGAGAAGCCAGCCAGAACCAAGATGGTGGCAAAAGAAACTTCTGTTCATGACACACTCATTGTGATGATTCCCATGCCGCACGGAGACGCCCGAGACAGCTACCGACGCCTCGGCCACGTCATCTGGAAGTTCCCCTACAGGGTCTCAAGTGGGGAGGAACCCTCAGTTCTAGGGGAATTCCCTGCTTGTTTCCCAGAATTCATGAATATAATCAAGAAATAACCATGAAAACAGCCATCCTTTTATTCCTTTGCTTTCTTAATCTTGTTTCACTTCACTCTGTCTTCTTTTGTTTTGGTTTGGTTTGAGACGGAATCTCACTCTGCCGCCCAGGCTGGAGTGCAGTGGCACAAACTCAGCTCACTGCAACCTCCACCTCCTGCGTTCAAACAATTCTCCTGCCTCAGCCTCTGGAGTAGCTGGGATTACAGGTGCCCAACACCACGCCCAGCTAATTTTTGTATTTTTAGTAGAGACGGGGTTTCACCATGTTGGCCAGGCCGGCCTGGAACTCCGGACCTCAAGCTACCCACCTGCCTTGGCCTCCCAAAGTGCCGTGCTGGGATTACAGGCGTGAGCCACCACACTCAGCCTGCCCTCTTGCTCTTGAATTCCTTCCTGCACAACGCTGCTAAGAACCCGTGTGACCTCAGGGCTGAGCCCTGATTTGGGGGTTCACCTGTGATGAAGTAAGCCGTGAACAGCACGGGGAGCACACTGTGTCTGCAGCTTTCCATG